TCCACCTTACTATGGGGTTAGTGGGACCTACCCCCATCATAAGTCAGCAACTTCTGCATTTATTAATGACATTTAACATGTAACATTGAAAATAAAAGACACAGTCTGTCCTCGTGGAGCTGGAGCTTAGTCTTGGACACCAAACACCTACATGTGGAAAATATGAGCAAGGAAAAGTCAGCATGTGTCAATATTATATGAACAGGAATTTAGGTCTGGGTTGTCACTACAACCAGCTTCTTATTAAACAGTTATTGTGCTTCCTAGCATGCAAGAAGCCTGATGACTGCCAGTCTCTTCCTTTCACCTCCCACTATTTCTAGGGCAATGGTAGGCCAAACAACAGCTAATGATAGCATCAAATACAGAGCATTTACCACATAGGAGGCACTATGTAGTAAGCAGTTGGTTTCACCGATTTCATTCAAACCTTATGGCAACTATATAAGGGGCATATTACTACCATAACTTTACAGTAAACAAAATAGGGGACAAGGATATAGCTCAGTGGCAAAGGACTTGCCTAACATGTGCAAAACTCTGGGTTCAGTGCCCAGCACTGCACAGAAACACACACATTTAGGGAAAGCGGAGGAATCTACTCAAGGTCACAGAGCAACTGTGAAGTCAGGATCTGAACCTGAGGCGCAGACTCTGATGCCCATGTTCCTTGCACCATGGAGTGCTGAACTGTATGATCAGGCCAGAGGAGAGGCACAGGGAGCACAGAGGCCCTTGTGGGTCATGAGACTAAGTGTGAAGGTGTGTTTGATGACTTCTGAATGTCTCAGAGGGGCTGACTGTGAGACTGCGGGTGGTACAGATTTGAAAGGGTGCAAGAACAGGCTGCTGGCCATTCAGGGTCCAGGATTGAACCAGACATGAGGAGCCTACAGGCTTCTTCCTCATAATAGTTACAAGTTGACACAAAACAGTTCTGGTACATGCACAGAAATGCTATCACACATTTTAAGTAGTTCAGCTTGTTCGTGTCTTTCCCCATGTAATTATGTGAGTTTAAATAGTTTTTGTATTTTCTTCCTGAGCTACTGGACAGCAGAGGCTGTCACTGTCTATCTTCTGTTACATTGTCACCTACCATCTAGTAGGTGTTCCAATTTTTTAAAAACAAACAAACAAACCTTCCAGAGCTTATATATTTCTAGAGAGAAGGAATAAACTTTTTTCCCAGCTAACCTTTTAAAAATGTACAGATGCAACTAAACTCTTGCTGAAAAAATCAAAGGAACAATTGGTACAATATTGAGGAGAGAGGCTATGCTGGGCTGGGAGACAGGACCATACAAGCTACAAGCAAATATGGTCACATTCTAGTTTCCATAATGAGCTCACTGGATTAGTTATTATGAAGAACTAAAAGTGGAGAAGACAAACCTGCATAGACTAGTGACAGGTGTGATAGGAATAACTGACCATGATTAACCCAATTCTGTGTATTTGGGGCCCAAAAGTAAATAATAAATGAAACTACAAGACATACAGAACAGAAGTGAGGCCCTTCTCATGCAACCAATACTGCATATTATTTTAACATAAAATCCCCAGCCTCAAAACAACATGTGCAATTTATGTAAGGGGTCTTTAACTTGAAGTCCACACGAGATGTGCTTAATCCTCCCAAAACAGACAAGGGATTCTACATGAACATGTATTTTCTGGGAGGAAAGTTTGCTGCTCTCAGACTCTGGAAAGGGCTGAGTGAAGACGGAGGTGGGAGAGTGACTGCATTTAAAGTAATGGCACTGCAACAGGCACTGCACATCACAGGCACAGAACGAAGTCTTGGACAGCACCATGGGGGTGATGAGGGGTGGGAAACCAGCTGGAGCTCCTCAGAGATGAGGTCTCTATTCCCAAGGAGTGCCAACTTTCTGAAGAAAATGACACCAGAAGGAGAGAGAACGATGCAGCAGATCCCCAAGGCCAACCCCATCAATTCCTTTTCACATCTGGTTTTCATGGTGACATCATGCAAAATATCCTGGACTTTATGAGGAGAGTCCCAAAACCCAAAGGGGATATTTTTTCTGGCTTCGTTCCACTGAAAGCAATTGATTTTGGAGAATAAGAGAACAAGGATGATAGCAACACAGGATGATGCAAAATAGGATTTTTAGGTTCAGGCACCCTGTACATAAGACAGCAGAGATGGCTCCTGACGAGGGTGGAGATGCATCTCAGGAGCACAAGTGGAAAGAATTTTGCAACAGACAAAATGACACAGTAAACTTTCACTGTGAAATTGAAAAAATGGAGAAAGATGTTTAGGTTAAACTTAAGACATAGCTACAGTGGAAGACAAAAAATAGGGCAGGTTATCACAGAAGGAAAGAGTTTCAAACTTAATTGGTAAGGGAAAAAAAAGAACTGGAATACATAGTCTGTGGGTGGTAAACATCATGAACTTGATTGATAATAAAGGTGCTCTCATACTCACAGAGCCTTGGTGGAAGGTTTGAGCAATAGGACAGTGTATCTTGTTCAATGAAAGCCATGCAGATGGAGGGTACAGAAGAGCAGCTGTGAGTCCAGATGACAGCTTTACAGCAGAACAGAGAGCTGCCTTGCAGCCTGGTTCCACACAGCCCTCCCATTACACCACACTAAGACCCCACAAAGGCGGGTGGTAGCAGGCTTCCTTCCAACAGCAGGACTATTCAACTCAAAGACAAGTTCTTCCATATTTAGCTTCCCAGATCCACTTAGGTAGATCTTAAGTCTGCAGAACACACTGAGCTTATACAGGAAGCCCCTTCCCCATGTCAAACACACAGAAATGTTAGGTACAATTTAAAGCATTAAAAAAGCAAGCAAAAATGGCTGGGAGTGTAGCTCAGAGGTAGAGCATCTCCTCACAGCCAGAAAAAGGGGACGGCTTTTGTCAGGCTAATATGTATTTGCATGTCTTAAACACAAACTAACTTGATTGTGCAGTGAACAAAAGATAGCATTTTGTCATTGATTATCTGCAGGTTATTTGGAATATGGCAGTTTGAGATTTAAATTTGTGGGGTTGAACTCCTTGCACATAGAGGAAAAACTCCTAACATATCCTTTTATATGCTTAAATGTACAATTAGAAATTAGTGGCACACTGCAATCTGGCATTCTACTCCTCCATAAGTCTAAGGCCTCAGTTTAGCTGAAACACTAATCCATGGCTACAACTCCAAAAAATCCAAGAACCCAGCAGCTTTTAGGTCAACCTCTCATTTTGTTCTAAGTTTTACTGAGCTTTTTTTTTTTTGCACTTTGGAGTCAATGTTTTTAACACTCTTAAGTTATAAACTTTTATGACAACTTGAAAGAAATATTAAAAATATGTCCTGGGTAATACTTTAAGCCTTAATGTTTAGGGGCTCCTATATTTCAAAGTAAGCAATTTATTATGCAGGAAAGTTAGTTTAATAAAAGTGCATTAATACCCAAAACACACAGTTCTTTTTCTTTATGGAGGAAAAGTTTTATTCTGGTAGAGGGACAGATTAAAGCCAAGCAAGTTTTTACACTAGCTAATTGAGACCAGGGGAGCCAGGAATGAAGTGGTTTCCTGATGGGTCATCCAAGTAACAGGCTGTCAGACAGTCCATATACTCAGGCCAGTCAGGAACAAATGAAAGGCAGCAGGAAGAAATGGCTCCACAGCCATGCTCTCTTCCTCTTCCCCTTTTCCTCCTGATCATTAACGGCTGCCAAACACACTCAAGTAAACAGCAAATTTTTCTTGCACCATAACAGGCATTCCCTTTTCTGTGACCTTGTACAACCTCTATCCTCCATTGCTAATTTCCTTCCTCTAACTGAAGCCACCAAACATCTGCTGTCTGCCTTCTCTGCCTTAGACACTTCTGAAAAAATTGATTAACTGAATTTAATGTTCATTTTTCCAAAAGGAAAAAGGGTGGATAGGGGAAGAAGCTCAAAATATAATGCAACCCCTGTGTTCTGCTCCAGTGCACATAGAATGTCAATGGGAAATGCTTTTTTTTTTTTAAAGTTTCTTAAAAAAAAAAAAAAAAAGTTCACCTGGTCCAACCAGCCACTTTTTAATCTCAAGGACAAATAAATAACCTACACTGGGGTAGCTAAAACACTCAAAGTTTGCTTTGAAAGATTTTCTCAAGGTACTACCAGTTTTCAATCTTTTTAACAATGTAGTACATACATCCAATTAGCCTACAGGCTTACCTTTGTAATTCCTTTTGAGATATACTCATGTTTTAATAGTCACTCAGATATGCTTACAGTGTATGTGGAGGGGACTCTGAAAACATACGACCTCCATCTAGCAATAGCACACAGTCATACACACAAAGTATATTATATGTCTAAGGCTGAGAACACTGGCAACAAGCACATAATTGCCCTCTACTTCTTGAGGAGAAACACAGTTTATAAAGACTATGATCCCAATTCCCTGTCCCCTCAAATGCCTTCTCCCTTTCCTCCAGCCCCAGTGCAGATGAAGTTTGCCATTTTTGTACTTTTCCTAGTGGTACAGAAGCTTCAGGCTTTTGAACTTCTGTATATGTTGCCTAAGAAAGAAAACTGACCACACATTCTCAACCCTGTCTTTCTCACCCACATTAACAATGCCTGCTCATGGCCAAGGTTAAATGCAACCTCAACTGTCCCAAATCTAGTGAAATAGCATTGGACTACTGGTTGTTAGTAAAATGCACACAATTTTACCTTTCAGGACTTTTAAGCCACTACACCAGGAAATCTTTTGATGACTATACCCTTCCCATTAGTATAAAAAAAACCAAAACAACAACACTCAGGCTTCAGTTCTGATTTTGGAGAACTTCTGAGTTCCTGCATTTTAGTCCCACCCAAGGGCTCGGAACCTGTAAAATACGGTGGGGCAGGAGCTCGGTCAGCTCCCTGGGCTTCTGCAAGAAGGATCCTGTCCCTACCTTATCACATGGTCCCAGCCTCCTCGCTCAGCACGGAATGGAATGCTAACTTACCCCAGAAGTGTGGGTGTGGGTGTGGTGGCAGTGCAGTCCAGAGGTTGGTCTCTCTTGCCCTGCACTCGCTCAGTAGCCTTTTAATGAACTCAGTGACTCAGCGGGGTCCCCTTCCCCCACCTCCAATCTCACTCCTCTCAATTGCACTGATGCCCATGTGACAGCATGTTGTCTCCACCGAGACTAATCCTGTATCAATAAGAGCTTTCAGCACAACCCAGACCAGATTGCTCTGTCTCACAACCACTTTGCTGACCCGCTCCGGGGGCCACAGAATACTCCCCAAGCGCATGCTATTTACAGAGAAGTAGACAGACGCTGGATCACTTGGTGTGATGATCTTGGTTCCAAAGTTTGTGGCTTTAACAAAGCAACTCAGCTAATCGACATTCAACCAGTCAACCAGGCACTGTGCAAGCCATCAGAAGGAAAAAATGAGGACTTTTACACAGGTATGATTCTAAATATATCTACCAGGGCTAAGTATTTTTGTTGTAGCACATCCCACCACCACAGTGGAAGATTCAAATAAAGTCTGCATGTTAGATGACAGGTCCAAACAATCTCTTAAATACCAGACATATATGGGTTTTGCTATTAGAATTGCCTGGAACCAGGGTGAGGAAACATGGCATAATATTCTCAGAATAATTTGAATTGAGTATACTTCATAAGATGACCACAGATTTACTAAGAATGGTTCTTAGCTTTGCCCAACCTATGTAATCTAATTCTTAAGAGGTTAATAACAAATGTTGGTGGGGCTGTGGAGAAAAAGGAACCCTTCTCCACTGTTGATAGGAGTGTAGACTGGTGTAACCACTGAGGAAATCAGTGTGATTTCTCAAAAAACTAAAACTAGAGGTTCCATTGACCCAGCTGTTCCCCTTCTTCATATCTTCCCAAAAGAATTCAAGCATCATACCACAGCAATATATGCACACCTATGTTTATAGCAGCATAATTTGTAATAGCTAAGTCGTGGAAACAGCCCCAATACCCATCAACTGATGTGTGTTTTTAAATACAATGGAGTACTACTCTACCGTAAAGATAAACTTGAGACATTTCTAGGTAAATGGATGCACCTTGATGGCATACTCAAGTGAAATAAATTGGACACATGTGTTTAAATATCACATTGTTTCTCTGGTGTGAGAAATCAAAAGGGTAAATAAGGATCAAAATGTACAACAGATATTGGGAAACAGAAAATGTTCAAATGGGAAGGGAAACAAAGGAGGGAGGAAGAGAAAGCAAAGGAGGGAAAAGAAAAAAACAGAATAGAAGGAAAAAATGGAAACAAGGCTTTTGTAAATAAGGAGAGGAAGAGGGGTTGAAGGGAGTGAGAGGACTGAGGGGGGAAAAAGATGAATCAAGGTAAATTATGTACAGCTACAAATTCCCTATGATGAATGTGATCATTAAAAAGCTAAAATCATAAAAATTTAAAAAGAGGTAAATTAAATAAAACTTAGTACAGTCCTAACCTTCCTAATTTGCCTATCTTCTCTTTTTCTGCAATTTTTATCCCACTCCTAAAGTATGACAGTTGGCGCATGAGAACATTGGTCTCTATTCACAGCCTTTCTGAGCAGCGTGACAAGCAAGAGGCATAAAAGTATGAAGCCTACACACAATGCCAAGGAGATATCAGCATGTTCCCAGAGAACATTACATATGTGCCTGGAGAGACTGCCTTTAGCTTTTGTGAGAAGAGTTTAATCAGCATTTCAGATAAGAACAAGAAGCCCGTATACAAAATCATCACAAAGGCTTTTTCCAGTACTAAATATGAAGCCTTCCTGACAGATGAAGCCCTTTGCACATAACGCTTTCTTAGAAAACTCAATTTATCAATCTTGAAAACAAAGGTTTTTAGTTCCAAAACTGATGATAGCTATTCAAAATTAAACTTGCACCCCTTAGAGCTTCATTAAAAATTTTTAAAGAAATATGTACCCAAATACAAATTTAATTTTAGAACTAAAATAGTTAATGATCATTTTACATCTCTATCCAAACACCAGGCGGGCATGAAGGAGCTACAGAGAACACCACAGAGAAATGCCAGGACTGGCAAGAAACTGGAAAAAATCAAGGAAGGGAAGATGTAGCCCCAAAATGGTTCTGTCTCACACTTCTAATTATTTATCAGAGGGTATGGTAATTCCAAGTTCTTTCTAATCATCACAACTTTTCCCCTTTGTCAGAGAGAAGACTTCAAATTCAGGGCAAATTAATATGGAACACTGAATTTAATCTATCTCAAAGTCTTCTTTTTATATACAATTGATACATACAAACATGCAGTCGTAGAGATAGTCCCTAAATACCCAGAATGAAGAGTGGACTGATCTAGCAACAACCCTGCACGCACCACACAGCAGGCTGCAGAAGGGAATTGGGGGCTGAGGCTGGGGCTGGTTTTACAGCTAAAACCATACAAAATTCCATCACCAAAAGTTGCTTCTCACTTTCGGTTAGGAGGTGGGCAATTCAAATGCCAGTCTGTTTTCTTCTTTCCTCTCTCCTGCTGCTATTTTCCTCAATGGGCTAAGACTTGATATATTTTTATGTTGGTGAATATGGCTTGCAGCTTTTACAGGAAGGGCTTAAAACAAAGTCCATTGATGTATGAAAAGAACAGGACCTAAGAATCAGAGAAGGTGGGTTTTTTAGCTAGGTTTTATATCTAATAGCTACAGGACTGTGAGCAAGAATTTAACTTCTGCACTTCAATTTCCATGGCTGTAATCACAGCATTACCTGCCCTGTCTATACCGTCGGACATGTGAATGTGGCTTTGTATCACAGAGAAGGTGGACTGAACAGGATGGAGAAAAAGGGTCCAGGTCTCCATGTCCCTTATAGGGTTTCCCTTCCCCTTTTAGGCTAATTTGAAATACAAGGGTAGTCTGACTTGCTCTGTGTACTGTAAACATGTGTACAGTATATTATAAACATGAAGCTTGGGCAATCCACTGCAAAATAAATATTACAAAATGCACAATGCTATCAAAGAGCACACTCTTATCAGTCTGTCCAAAGACTAATTTTTTTTTTTGGTACTAAGGATTGGACTCAGGACCTTGTGCTTGCGAGGCAGGCGCAGTGCCATTGAGTTAAATCCCCCGCCCTCCAAAGGCTAAGTTTTGAAAGTATAAATAGTTCTAAGGTTGAGAGACTTAAAGAATATTTTTATACTACGTATAGGAAAATATCTTACTTGTTTTACATAAGGGAAGTCTAAATTAGAGAATCAGGGATTAAATGCTAGAGAAATCATAAGGGTGCCACAGGAAGAGGGGAGAGGAAGCAGTCTCCCAGATAAAACTATTGACGCCAGAGCCAAAGGTGGTAACAAGGAAGCTCAGTTGAAGCAGGGTACAAACCAGCTCTGGGATCCAGCTCAGTTCTCTAAGGCACTGAAGGCACATTGCAGCAAACATCCTTTCTATGGAATCACTGCCTGGCATTTTTGCCAGTATGGCAAAAGGCTTGAAACTGGAAGCCAATACTGTGCTGGTATCTGGAATGAGCAGTGACAGCTATACAACTGGTCGGGTTAATCCTGCAGGACTGCCCCAAGCCCAGGTTCAGAAGACAGGTAACTGGGGCTTGAAGTCATTCAGTCCAAGTGCTGCATTTGACAGAGAAGGAAATTGAAGCCTAGTAGCAAAGTGAAAGTGCTTCCCCAAGAACGGTAGCAGCCAAGTTCCACTGAGCATCTTGGACTCACTCTCCCAGCATACACCCCACTAGCTTAACGTGCTTTTCCTGCCTCATCGAGATCCCACATGCTCTCCTGCTGGCCAGTATGTACATAATCACAAAACCTTAAAATTATCTTTGAGCATCTTTCTCCTCTTGGCCTGATAAAAATCTCTCCTTTTCTTAGGCAAAGTACTTTCCAAGTACTTAAATATTTCAGGTGCTCTGAGAAACCCTTGTCTTGAATCGTCTTGAACTTAGAAATAAGTAAATCAAGTAATTCATTATGGGTCCTTCCTAACATGTACAGAGCTCTGCATGGTTTTTCCTGAGCATTCTCTCATTTGAGCTTCACAATGGTTCTGTGACACAACCAATGCCAGGATCACTACCCAAAGGAGGTGGAGCTCTAGAGAGGCTGAATAATTCAAAGTAGAACTCAGATCTTCCAAACACAAACTTAGTCCTTCCTTCTTACTTCATTCAAATTAAGAACCTGATACATCAAACACCATACTTAAAAATGAGGCACAAAGTATATAAAGCAGAATTCAGGTTTTTACAGAGATGGCATCTACTAGACATGCATACACACACAGAGGTTTCAAAGACATGAATTTGAGGATAAGAAATTTGGGGGTCAGACTTGCATTTGAGACCAGATTCCACTCCTTATTAGTTATGTAACCTCAGAGAAAGTCATTTATCTCTTCAAACCACAGTGTCCTTGTCTCACACAACTGTCATTAAGATAAAATGAGACAGTAGATGAAAGAAGTGAGCACTGAGCACTGAGGAGAAGCATCTCATGAGTACTAACTATTTTTATCAATGTGAATGCCACACAACAAAGGCACTGCTGGAGCACGGTCTGGTAATACCTGTTCAGGTTTGGAGGGCAGTTGTATCTGAAAGAACTGAGACTTCTAGAATGGCTCTAATGAAAGGGTTGTTCTTGCAAAACAACCCTTCTTTGTTGTTCTTTTAATCTGTCCATCCATGTAGTTACATAGTGCCTACAGTGAGCACAGCACTCTACAAAATGCTTCTCAGCAGGGCTCCCCTGAATGAAAGTGTTTCCTAGGGTGCTTAAAATACGAGCTCATTCATAAGTTAAACTCACACAACTTCTCAGATGTATGGGGACTGAGTGAAATGAGGCATATCAGTGGTCATTCTGTTCCTAGCTAGAAGAAACTGCCTAATAGAAATATTTCCGTATAACAGACCTCAGCAAAATAACCTTTGGTAACAAAGTAAGCATCTCTTCCCCCAGAGGCCATACTGCTGTGGGAGAGTGAGGACCTCTAGATCTCAATCATGTTTGACTGCACTTTTTATTTGAATGAAACATTTACCCCCATTAAACACTTGCACATAGGCAGTATTTACCCATAGAAGGTATAAAAATTGTACACTCTCCACCTGGCACTATGATTTGAACTTATTCTCCATTCACACCTGTCAGCTGACCTGTTCCTAGTAGCTAAGTGATCTAATCTGCATGAAGCAGCGATGTGGTCTAAGTGGGCTAGCCCATGCATTTTCCCTCTTTGCTCTGAGAACGTTTGCCAATGGTGCTTGCAACTACAGAATTTACTCCAAGATAACTCATGGGTTATAGTCCTAACCTTACCTTCAAAGTTTGCCACAAAATATCTTGCTTTTATTATCATTTTTTCCCGTTATTCTAGTATATTGATAGTCTTTGGAAACAAAAGACATCATTCTATTTATAGCATTCTGGTTTTCGTAGTGGTATTTCCATTTACAAAATGTTCTTGATCGTTGAAAATTGAATGAATGCTGGCAGTGAGTTGCACTTTTTTCTAAATGGGGGGAATGACTTGCTAGCTACCTTTAATATCATACTTACTATGGTATTCACCTTCTTTTTACTGTGACAAATTCCTCATATAATCCACATACAGAAAACAGCTTTATTTTGCCTTACAATTTTATAGGTTTCAGTCCAGGATCAGTTGGCCCTGTTGCTTGGGGCCTGTGGAGCACATTATGGCAGAAGCATGTGCCAGAGAAAAACTGTAACTCATAGCTAAGAGGCAAAGAGAGAAAAAAGGGGGCCCAGGGCCCCATTAATCAATCCCTTCAAGTACACAACCTCAACACTGAAAGACCTCCTACTAGGCTCCAACTCTTGCAGGTCCCACCAACTCCAAACAGCATCATGGAGTAGGGGGAGGGAATACAGAGTCTTTATTCCATAGATCTCTGGGGAATACTTTAAGATCCAAACTAAAGCAGCAACATAGCATAGTCGTTAGATAGGACAACTTTAAGATAACTTTGGGTAATTAGTTCAAATCAATTCCTTGCATAGCAAACTTTATGACAAGGAAGCTGACATCTATCTGTTCATTCTCCAGATGGTCAAGATGTTATCTACCAAGGACCTTAATCTTCTGCAGAAAGAAAACTACCACCTTTCAAAAACACAAAAGCTATTTTTAATTGTCCTGTTGGACAGCTCTCCTATGGATGGCTGTCCTGTTTAAAAACAGAAGAAGGACCAAGTCCTTTGGGATTGTTATGTTCTTCAACTAGGTTCTTTAAGATGGGGGGGGGGGGGCACTTTAGGACCTTCCTATTTATTTGAAATGTGAAGCAAAACAACTGAAAAAAATCAAGCCCTTCAGTCATGAGAAATAATGCAGTCACTTTGATGCAAGGATATAACACTTAACTTTTAAATTTTCTAGAAACTGAGACAAAGAGAAAGTCACAGAAAAATTCAGTTAGCAAGAATATCCTGTAAAATATAAACACCTTGGGCCAGGGATTTAGCTCAGTGGTTCCAGTGCCTGCCTTGCAAGCACAAGGACCCAAGTTCGATCCCCAGTACCAAAAATAAATAAATAAACAAATAAACACCTCGTTTCTTAGAAGACTCTAGTCTTTAAAGAGGAAATACAAACGTCCCCACTACATTGTCCTCAACAACATGGCTGAAAAAATTGAGAGGTGAAGTTTTTCATGCTGTCATATATTATAATTCACTATAAAAATCAGAGGACTGACAGTGAGGTCAGATGCTGGATTCTGTGAGGGGTTAATGGACATGGTATGTGTGGTATGGTGGAAAAATATAGCACTGTTTAAAATACTTTTAAAATTTATTATAGTAAAAGGCACACTGCCATTAATGCCCCTCAAAATATTCCCACTTACTTCAAACACACTCATCCCATTGTTCTTGACACTTTCTGAAACAGTTTTGGAAATCCTCTTTCATGTCTTTAGTTTGCTGTCTTGATGTCCTGAATGGATTCAAAACATTTACCTTTCATGGTCATTTAAAAAAAATTTTATTCTTATTAGTATGTTTGTAAGAACATACTGATTACATTCATCATGAGAAAGTTGGCACATGGACATAATGTATGAGTTCTTTTTACATCCCCTCCCCACCCCTCCTCCTCCCTCTCTCCATCTCTCCATCCTCTTCCCATTTGCAAATGGTCATTTTGATTTTGGGGAAGAGCCAGAAGACACACAGTATCAGATACTGTAAATAAGGTAGATGAGGATACACCATAATGTTTTTCAGAGCCTGCCTTTCTGAATGCACTTGGCAACAGCATTCAGAGTTGTTTTGAATGTACCTTGTAAAGATACTCAGGAAAGAAGACTTCTGGAACTGCTTTGGAAAGAAGCAAGAATGATGGGATAAGTGTATTCAAATTGAGGGTGAGTGTTGAGGGGGATTAATGGCAATGTGTCTTTTATTGTTATATTTTTAAATTTAAACATTTCTTGTATACTTTGATCACCCCTTGTCTATCAATATATAGTAGTTTAATTTTTCCCAACAACTGATAGTAAAATACTTCAAGAAGTTGATTGATACAGCCTGCCTCTTAAATTACCTTAGCTTAGACTACTTCTGAGATTGGCACCTTTTGGGTCAGGATTCTATCACCCTCATGTACTCTTCAAAATGAGAAACATCCAGCCTGATCAAAAAGGGGTGGGAGGATAAGTCATTTGTTAAATTTGTAAATGTAGTGTAGAGTGTTGCTTCATTTTGGCTTTTTAAAAAAAGGTGTCTAACCTTACAGTCAACTCTATCAGAGTGGTGAGATTTGTAAGATACAGCCAGAGTGGTAAGATATGACTTACAGGACATATGGTTGACTGCTGATTTTCACTCTTCATTCAAGTCATTCATGACTTGATCTACCCTACTATACTTATTAGATTCTTGTAGAATATAGTTCGATATTAACAAAGAGATAAAATAGAGCAATGAACATGGTAACAGAACAGTGTGAAGCCCTGAACCCTCAACAGTACAACAGGAC